AGCAGATCGTATTATTCTTAGATTCTTGTCAAAAATTTGTTAACTCTAAATAACTAATTTCTTATCAATTTCAAGTCGTGTTAATGTTTCCAGTTGAAAATTGTCGCTCTTAATTGTAACCACCACTTCATGAAAAGCCATTTAAAAGGATTACATAATTTATTTGGTCACAAGTGAAATTACAAAAAATACGAATTTTCTTCTACAAGCAATGCTATTAGAATTTAATTTGTAGATAGATCTAATTTGAAAACCTAATGAATTGTAATCATTAGATTAACAATAAATCTCAAAATTAGATGAAGATCAATTATCAATCAAATATTTAAAGGGCAGTTAGTCTTCAAATTAGGTACAAATAATATTATTATTTTTTCAAAATCATATCACATCCCGAAACTGATATAATAGGATGAATTGAGAAAGTATTTTGTAAATACATAATTCTCTTGAATATGATAAAAAAAAAAGATAAAAGAAAAATTTTGTTGTTTCTTCAATAATTTTTGATCTCTAGGGAACTTTCAGTGGGATTCAAATCCCAGATAAAGTTTTAATCATATGTCAGAAAAAAAAAATGAACAAATTTTATAGAATTCTCAAAAAATTAATCGATTTCTACCGAAAAAATAGATGATTAATCACATAAATCTTGATTGCTCATACTTTTTTTATCACAACCAAGCCACATGTAAATATTGCAAGTTAGGCAATCCACGAAGTGGTCAATCATTGAATTGAACATTAAAGAAAGTGCCACTAAAGATTTTGGAAGTCCAAAAGCAAATCTTCCAAGAATTTTCACAAGGCGACTGTCTGACTATTGCCTATTGCCTAATTCTAATACCAATCCAAATGATATCCACCTAAGTTTTTAGGCTTTCTGACCAACCCCTTTTTGCCACGTGTTCATGTCAGCTTTTCATGCCACATGTTGGAACAAAAGAAACAGAATCCATTTGGCAACTCAGCTTGAGTTAACTTAACTTAACCAAAGTCAACCCTTGAGTTAAGTAAACTTAACCATAGTTGTATTAGTCATGTTGTTATCCAATGAGAAGACCCCAAATGGTATAGTGGTTGGTAAAGCTAGGGATGTAAATGTGCCTTAGGCATATCTACCTTAAATGAATAGAGACAGGTTTGAAAATTCTGATTTGAATTCGATCTAAATATTTATAGTTTTGTGGGCGTTTTGTATGATCCACAAAATTATAAACCCTTCTTATCCTTACTCTTTTTCCTTCTCTTTCTTGTCTTTTTCTTTTTTTTTTTATCACACAATATGAATAATTCAAGAATTATTAAAATTTTATAAGAGATTAAAACTAATTTAAAAAAAAAATTTGAATGTGGGGTGATTAATTGATAAGATAGTGAAAAAGTTGTTATATTGGCCAAGTATTGGTTACTAATTGGATAATACCTAATCTTATAATTAAATAAATAAATTTTTTATAAATTAATAAAAGTAAAAGAAAAGGTTCTCAAGCCCTCTCTGCTAAAAAAATAATAATAATTATTATTATTATTATTATTATATATTATTATATATATATAATTTAATTTTCACAATCTATACTTGAATATGTCTAAAGGTAAAAGAATAATTGAATAATTCAATTATAGTTTAATTTTATCAAATTAAATTGGAATTTAAACTCAAATTTGAACTTTTATTAGTCATCTTGAGGAGATGTGAAATGATATAGTGGTTGGCGAAGGTTGGGATTGGCTGTGCACGGCACTGTCAAAAGACTCAAAACCCCTTTTCTCTGGCGCTTTTGTGGTCGATATGGGCGTTGACGTTTTTTTTCACAGAATCTGAACGGTTAAATTGTTGGAAATTACTGAAACGATTGAAAATTCCCTAAAGTGGACACGCGTGCACTTGTGATGTGATTTTTTTTACTTGAAAAGGAAAGGTTACTTTAGACATTTGATAATGTTTATGGCAAAAAAAAGGACAAAAGAGAGGAAGATTACAGAGTAACTTGAAATACTGAAATTGCCCCCATCTTTTGAGTTGAATGACCAAAGTCTCCCAGCCAGGGCTATCGAAACTGGTGACATGTGATCCGATACTTCCATCGGGTTAGTTCAAGACGGATCCGGATCTCTTTTAATATATATTTTTTAAAATTTTTTTTGGTAAACTATTTATCATTAATAAGTTATTTGACCTAATTAACTTACTTAATAATGTGACATGCACATGTAAAATTATTTATTTATTATTATATTATTATTTATAAATAATAATGAAAAATCAAACAAATTAAGATTAGCAATTCTCGAGTATCGTCAATAGAAAAATTTTTTCGTATCATACATGATTCACAAAGTCACATGCACGTGTCACGTTCGGACACTTGCAGCATGGAAAGGCTGTGCAAAGTCGGTTTGAAAACTCGTGGGCGACAGACAGCTGTTTTCAGGTATTAGGACTAAATGATTTAAAGTTAGCTGGGGATTTACCATAGGAAAATGACAAATATTCAAACCACCCCAATTAATTCCTTTACATTTTTTCAAAGTGCATGTTGAATTTTTCTGGTGTGCAGCTGGAACAACTAAGAAAATATGAGTGTAACCGAACCCGGTTGTGTTATATGCCCTTGGTATTCTATTCGGCATACTGTATTTACGATTTTTTTTTATTCAAAGATTAAAGATATTTGGATCAGTTTACACTCACTTCGAATAATCTCTTTTCTCGATTCAGTTAAAAACAGGTCATTTATATCGAAACTAAGGTATTCATGAAAAATAAAAAATCTAACCTCAAAAAATTAAAAAAAATTCAAATTTAAAATACCTAAATTTATAATTCTTTTAAATCATCCCTTGAATCGCTTTTAAGTTGTTGTGTTTTGGACTTTTGAGTTGACATGCATGACACGTGGATCCAAAATCAATTAGATCAAAACCCTTCTATCTTTCTGTCTAATCAACTGCATGTATGTTTGATTTATTTGGCCCATATTATGTAAAATTAAATTAAATACTGTTTATTTTAATAATAATAAGTCATGTAATTCAAAATCAAGATTTAGAAAACAAAGAGAGATCCTTTTTTAAAAAAAATACCATTTAGATAAATTTATTTTTTTTAAAATTGAATTATTCATGTTTAATTACCACTAATACAGCCCCAAAATTAATTATATTAATCAATCATGTTATTTTCAAATTAAAATAAAATAAAATTTATCACTTGTATACAGAATTACGATCAGGGTCATGATTTCCCATAACTGTTTGATGACGTCCCTCCGCAACTAAAAGCATCATTTGTATCTGTTCACAAAACCAGACGGCATATAATACCAAAAAAAACATATAACATATTAGCAAATGATATATTCACGTGGTGTGTATCACGCATAAAATATTATATATTTTTAATTAATTATTATTATTTATAAAGTTGTCAAAAAATTTGTTAAGCCACAACTTAACACTATCACGTGGTACCACACTAGTTTGTTTTCGGGATAAGAGTGGTATAACGAGATGAGATTAGGAACATAGTACGTGGAACTCACCTTATACCTTGTTTGTTTTTTCTAGTCATAGTATTGACCCAATTTAAACAGTGTCCTTAATGTCTTCTACATGATAGGTGGTATTATCTTCTCAATACAAATGAAAGGACAGTATAAGAGAATAAAATGACACAAATGCCCTCCTGTGTGAATAGTTTACATATAAAAAAATTATTTTAAATTTTTTTCTTATATTATATTTAAGTGTATGATTTTATTGATATTTTTTTTAAAAAAAAAATTTAAAATTTTAAAATTTTTCCTTATATTATATTTAAGCTTACGGTATTAATGGTTTTTCTTTTTAATGTTTTTTTAAAAAATTATTTTGAATTTTTTTATTTTATTATGTTTAAGAGTAAGGTGTCACCGATTTTTTTAAATTTTTTTGAAAAATTATTTTAAAATTTTTCATTATATTATGTTTAAGCGTACAGTGTTAACAATTTTTTTTTAGTTTTTTAAAAATTATTTTGAATTTTTTTTTTGTATTATGTTTAAGAGTATGATGTTATCGATTTTTTTAAAAAAAATTATTTTGAATTTTTTCCTTGTATTATGTTTAATCGTACAGTGTCATCGATTTTTTTTTTAAAAAAAAAAATTATTTTGAATGGAGTGGATAATATTAAGGAATGAATGACGTTAAAAGTAAAATGATATATTTGTTATATAAGATGTGATAGAATAGATGGTTATTTATGGGACTTACCATAGTACTTATTGAATAAACAAACATGAGAGGAAATTGAAATAATTTTTATTATCAGTACTAATATCCATTGGTATTGAAAATGTAAGGAATACATTTCCAGGCTTATATAAGACTTGAAACAAACATGCCCCAAATGCTTACACATATACCATTGAGTGTGGTAGTTCCATGGGGTATCATTGAATTTCTCGCCCTAAAATTGGAGATTCACGTCTTGGAGTTTAAATTAAGATTCGATGGTTGACCGCTATACTAATTTAGTTAAGTTTGTTCCCGAGAAGAGTAATGGGCATAATCAGGGGTCTCATGATCTCGTCAGTGAGGATCTATCAAGATAGTCTCTAGATGTTTTCCTTTACTCCCACCCCTTTTATAATCATAAAAAAAAAAAAAAATCAAATTACATGCATAGAATCCTTATATCAAAGATTTAACATGAATTCTAGTAACCCAGATGTCTTGAGTTCAACATTTTTCATATCTTCTAAAAATCAATCATTCTTGTTTCTCGTAAGACATATTCTAAACTCCCTTGGGCTACGGCAGCCAATATCCAATTCAAAGTAGTCGACATAAGACTAGGTATCCTGTTGAAAAAAAAAATACAAGCATGGTATAGTGGCTGTAAAGTTCCCTGTACTGGGTCAAAATTAGAAGGATACATTTATTGGAACAAAATTAAAAGTATACCAAAACAACCTCCCCAGTTTCCTTACAAACCACGTTTCTGTTCCCCCAGGCACCAGTATTTAGACCCCTTCTCCTCCTCAAACTACTCTTTTCTTAACAGCTCTCAATCTTTCATATTACAATTTCTTAGTTCTCCAGCCAGAGTTTCATAATTTCCTTCTCTGTCCTTTCCATCTCTTTCTAACTTTCTCATAGCTTTCATTCCAATCGAATCAGAATCAGAATCAAAATCAGACTCATTTAAACCTTTCTAGATTTGGCTATTGTTCTGATAGTTAGATCTGTTTGGTCAGAGCCCATTTGTAGTTTAGGAGATTGAAGATTGAGAGAGAGAGAGAGAGAAGGGTTTTAGATCATGGAAAATTTTACTGGAATTTTGAAGGAGGATGATGAGATGGAATTGCCACCGGGTTTTCGATTCCACCCAATGGATGAAGAGCTGATTACTCATTATCTTGCCAAGAAGGTTTTTGATAGCCACTTCTCTGCTAGAGCCATGGGAGAGGTTGATATGAACAAGGTTGAGCCTTGGGAATTACCATGTAAGGTTTCTAACCCATGCCCATGTTTTCTTTTCCATTTTCTCACAGTTTTTTGCTAGTCTCGTGCACTAGGCTGCCTCTTTATACAAAGCAAATGAAGTTCGGTTATAAATCACTCTTCTTTTGTTTTGGTTTTGAATGCAGGGAAGGCGAAAATGGGAGAAAAAGAGTGGTACTTTTTCTGTTTGAGAGACAAAAAGTACCCAACTGGTTTGAGAACAAACAGGGCTACTGCTGCTGGCTATTGGAAAGCCACAGGAAAAGATAGGGAAATTTTCCGAGGGAAAACTCTGGTTGGGATGAAGAAAACCTTGGTTTTCTATATGGGGAGAGCACCGAAAGGAGAGAAAACCAATTGGGTCAGTCATGAATATAGATTAGAGGGTAAATTCTCTCTCCATAACCTCCCCAAAACAGCGAAGGTATACAATTTCTTCTCCTGTTTTTCCTCTGTTTTTATACCCTGTTCTACTAAGATCTATTCTTGTGATTTTAATGTCAGACTTTTGAATTTTGATTTCCCTGTAGAATGATTGGGTGATTTGCCGGGTGTTTCACAAGAATTCAGGAGAGAAAAAAGTACATATTTCTGGGTTAGAGAGATTGAATTCCGTGGAAAATGAACCTGTTTCTCCTGCTCTTCCACCATTAACAGACACTTCTTATGGTGGAAGGACCAAACCTACCCTACCGGAATTTGTTCACGTTCCCTGCTTCTCCAGTTCCATTGCTGCACAGAAAAACCAGGAAGATACAATTAATTACCTCCGCAATTCTCTTTTTCCTCTCTCCTCAAATCCATCCAATATTTTCCCAAGATTTTCTCTTCCAAACTCATTTTCTTTGGGTCGATCAGCTCCAGTTCTTGAAAATTTTCAATACCCTGGTTCAATTCCACTGCAAGACCAGGGAATTATGAGGAATTCCCTGCAAAATTATGGACCAAACATGAAGCAGAGTTTCAAAACAGAGGAGGATCATATGGTTAGTGTCTCCCATGAAATAGGTTTAAGCACTGAGATGAACTTTGAATTGTCTTCTGTTGTATCAAATCTTGAAATGGCAAGGAAGTCATTTGACAATCAAGAGGCTCCATCAACTTCAGGTGGACCACAAGACCTTGATTATCTTTGGAGCTACCGAAATCCATGTTAAGGAGAAGGGGTGAAGCAAGGTTGCCATACCAAGGAGAATACTTCTCGATATTATATCCAAAGTTGCTAAAAGGTAGGGGCGAAGTTATTTGGAATTGATCTTAGGATCGATCCCTACTTTTTGTCAAGTTGTGACACAACTCCATTGATCCGTAAGTGACATTCTCGAGTTATGACGTGTAACTAACCCTTATTTACTTGAAAATGTCGGTACGGTTATCACTTTGGGTACCTTAGTCTTACCCTAAAACATTTATGTAGCAGCATTTATGATGTAGAATGTGAAAGAAGGAGAAGAATAGCTTTAGGTACTATTGTTATGTGTGTAGGTGTGTGGAATTGTATAGGTTCTCTCATTCCAAAAGGTATGTTGAGGACATTGAAGATATCTTTGTAATGGATAAAATAGATGCTATTTTCACTCTCTCTCTCTCTCTCCCTCTCTCTTTTCAGTTGATGTGTCTGGCTCATCCTAGGATTAAGATAAATTTCCTTCATCAATCCAGGAGAAAATATCTCATGCTCATCTATGATCGATCGCAAGATACTACAAAAATGGTAAAAACAGTTACCACAAAAGTTATAAATGATGGTATAATACCGAATTTTTTTTTTTGATACCGTAAAACTTCTCCTAGTTCTAGTTGTAACACCTTGATTCAAGTTTAACCTTAATCCATGTTTTAGAAACCTAATGATAAGTTAATCCATGTTTTAGAAACCTAATGATAAGCTAAACCTTCTTGTTTGGTCTTACCATTGAAGAATTTTAGTTCTCATTTTCAAATTCCTCCAAACCTCAAAACCACACTTTTTTCTATTCTAATGGTAAGTGTCATCTAACCCAAGTTTGAATCTAACCTCTTCTATAAAATAGACCAAAAAAAATACCACTTTATTTTATTCTAATCGTATATGTCATGACTAGAATAAATCCAACAAGTTGACTCCTTGAATTTTTCATACAAGGGTAAATCTTTTGATCTTGATAGAACAGTATAACATGAATAATGACTCAAATTAAAACCGCGTAAAAAATAGTCTTATGATATGTATTTGTCGTCTAATTTATGTCAATTACAACTCCCACGTGCTTACAACATTCAAGAAAACTAACATCATTTACTCTTAAATCTCCTGAATATCTGCTCATAATCATTGAAACACATCCTATCAAGTACAAGTCTCTCCCAACTCTTATTGGTTTTCTTAGCGAAGATTTTCCCTACAGATAGCTAAGCCCCAGTTCTGCCTGCTTTCTTCAAAAACCCTTCTCTCTCATCTCATCTCATGTCACCTACAAGTCATTTCCTTTGCTTAGGCGGAGGGGAAATATGACTAAACACATTTACGTGCTAATACCAAAAAAATAAATTCAAACTTAGCAAAAAAAAAACTAAGATTCAAGACCAAATTACTATATAAAACAATATTCTCGAAAATTATCTACCATTAATTAATTCTAAGCTAAATTTGTTACTGATTTTTTTTTATGTGTACAATCACCGAATCTATGACGAAAATCATCCTTTATTTTGCTCCAAAATCTAAGTGAGCTCATGCATTGTCTTGTTGAGAAATTAATTATTTAAAATAGCAGAAATTGTTTTTGGATTATGACATTTTACCTTAATCATGTTTTGCTGAGCTACATACTATTAATTTATCGAAAAATAGTAAAAGACAACTACATTATTGTTTTTAAAAAATGGTAGACAATTACCAGATAAAAGAAATTAGGGGTGTCAATTTTTGAATCAAACACGAACCAGACTCGAACTGAATTGGACATGAACTCGAAAAAAACACGATTTGTTGACACGAGTAATAAGTGGATCAAATTAAGATTCGACACGAATAACACGATTAATGAGTACTGTAAATATAAAATAATTATTTAATGAATATTTTAGATAGAACATAAGAATTTTATAATTTTTTAAATAGTATTATATTAGTTGTTGTCAAATTAAATAATTTTTTATTAACACGAATCCGACACGTACCAAAAGTGATACGACACGAAAATAACACGATCGAAAATGACACTACACGAAACTGATACGGCACGACACGATTAACACCCCAAAAAAAAATATATTACTTTTGGTCAATATATATGTAGGTCAAGAAGTTTTATACTTGTTTTACTAAATTAAAAAATAAAATAATTTATTCTAGGGGGCCAATCATTATACAAATTTTTAAAAAAGGATAAAATACTTTAAGAATACATATATAAAGGTCGAGACGTCAAGTGTCCACTCTTATCCTAATGTGACTCCACCACCGATTCTACGAATCAATATAATTTATTAAATTATTTGTATACTTATATTTAATCCTTCTCACAAATAGTATATCGACATTAAACTAATCGGGTCGTATTTGGGTAATTGTGTAATTTTTAATTAAGATAATTTTGAAATTTGTCACCACATGTGACGATCCATTTGCAGTCTATGTCACCATGACCCAAATTGGAGGATTGGCCAACCAATCAAAACCGTCTCATATCAACCATTTCATAGCTAATCCTTATTTTATAGTTTTTTATGTATTCCGAAGAATATTCTCACGTGATATTCAACCATTCAGTCCCATCAAAATATAAAATACTGATGGTATTGAAATGACACAATGACGACGTTGGCCCATTGGAAAAAAAGGTCATTAACTTTGTCTGAGGGCAATTATGTCTTTTCACAGTTTGGTAACCTAGCCGTGGAGTAAGCATACAGTAAAACGATAACACTACATTACTATTTTCAAAGAATATCACAATTCTGTTAGCACCCGCCCTAGGCGTCTAAAGTCCTCAACGTTAGAGGGCTCCAAAATTTTAACCCTCTAGTATTTTGGGCTCAAAATTATCGATAATTTTAGATAGACCCTAAATATTTAGGTCCTAATTATTAGAAGCTAAATTAATTTCTAATTTTGTTAAGTCCCAAAGTGTTCTCCATTTAGTTAAGACCAATAAAATTTTAGTAGTTTTATATTTTATATCATCATTGTTTATAATTTTCTAAAAGTTAACCTCCCTATCGTATCTCTTCTGGACCTCTCTTCTCTCTATGTGAAAGCACATTTGCGCTACCCTATAAAGCACAAATACTTCGTTGAGGTTGACGTATCCGTATTAAATACGATATTCATTGAATATTCGAGGATACGTATCAGATACACCTTCTACATATCCGATAATAATTAAATATTAGAATACTTCACAGGTACTTTTATAATAGAATAATATATATAATTTTTTAGTTGAACTTTTAACATCTCTTTTCGAATTCACATACCATACAATACATTAACAAAAATTTCATATTACTTCAAAGGCACGTAAGTGTTTTTTAAATATAATCTACAATTACATGTCAAAAGACCATATAATAAAACTATTACGTTATAATCTTGACAAAAATTACTTCTAAATACTAAGTAAATATTAGTTTTGATTCCTTTAATTAGTCACTTCATTTTATGAATATACAACAACGACAAGATATATATTTTCTTGAAACTAATAATAATTATTAATTTTTCTTATTATATGTTAAATAACTATTAAAATATATGTGTTAAGTTGGTTGAAAATAATAAAAATAATAAATATATTTTATTATAGTCGTATCCTGGTCATATCCGTATTCTACTTTTTTAGACTTTATCGTATTGTCGTATCCGTATCCGTATCCGTATCGTATCTATATCACGTATCCGCATCCATGCTTCATAGGCGCTACCAGTTCACTCCTAAAATCTTATATGAATAATATTTAGCACATGCAAAGTAAAATAGGTAATTTTTTATTTATTCTTTCTTATATAACTTTTATCTTAAAGAGCAACACATTTGAATTTAAGTACATATATTTTTGGTCCATTGTATAAAATAAATTATTATTATTAAACACTTCAATTATGATGTATGTCCTGATATTCATGATTTAATTTTTTTGATGGCTTGACATTATTTTCAGAATTGAAAATTTGAAAAACAAAAAAAAATTAAAAATTACAAGAATAAATTTAACTGACACCCCTTGAATTTAAGTCATACCTCATTGACAATCTATTTTGGTTTCTGAAATATCACTGCACACTCTCTATAATTTATATACACGTCTTACAACTACCCCTGTCGTCTGACATGATTATTGACAAATAAAAATGTGTGATGTGATGGTTTATTGTCTTTTGAATTTCCAAATTTATCATTATCCATATCACATAAGCTTAAAGTAGTAGTAAACATTCTTTTAGTATTAATTAAATGTTAATTGGATCAAATAGAATATTATCTATCACTTGATCAAATAAAATGTTAATTTGGTGTTAATTTTAAAAAATAATATTAATTTGATAAAACTAAATATCAAATTCAAAAAATTGAATGCTAATTTTATAAAATTAAATGACCATTTGGTATTGATTTGAAGAATTAGAATGTTAATTTGAATTCAATCAAAAATATGATGTTAGTTTGATAAATTAGATGTTAAAATGATGAAATTAGATGTTAATTTTGGATTAATTTAGTAAAATTGAATATGGATTTAGTATTAATTTTATAAAATTTAAGATCAATTTCACATTAATTTGGTAAAAAATTTATATTAATTTGATAAAAATTAGATCAAATTAAATATTAATTTGGTAGTTAATTTGATAAATTTTAATGTGATTTTTGATAAAATTAAATGTTAATTTTGTGTTAATTTTGTGAAATTGAATATTAATTTGGTATTAGTTTAATAAAATTGAATGTTAATTTGATGAATGTAAATGTTAATTTGGAAAAATTTAATGTTTATTTGATAAAAAAATATAATATTAATTTGATGCTAATTTGATAAAATTAAATATTTAATTTTTTATTAATTTAATAAAATTTAATATTAATTTGAATAAAATTTAATATTAATTTGAACAAAATTTAATATTAATCAAACAACATTAAAGATCAATTTAATATTAATTTGTGTAAGAGTAATTAAGTAAAATGTGAGTTCTATTAAGGATAATTTAGTAAAATTACATATTTTGTTAGTTTTGTTAACAGGCAAAAATTTATAGAGATACATAGTGATATTTTAGAAATTAGAGAGGGGCGTTAGTGAAATATGACTTAAATCCAGGGTTGTCAATAAAATTTACCCAAATTACAACATTTCAATTGTAATACTAAACTACTTAAAAAGACTATTTTTTTTTTTCTGAATGAATGCATTGCTTATAAAAATTTGTTAACAATAATCACTTAAGCAAAAACAAGTTTTTCAAAATTTAAATTGATAAAATATTATTTGCAATTAACTATGTCATAAGAAAAATTGAATGAATTAACAATAATCCATTGAGAAAAATTTATTGACAAAAT